GCTTTTGCCTCTCTCCCCCACATCCAGCTGTGCACTGACCCCTGTGGGCTCTGCCTCTGAAACACACTGGCATTCTTCCTTCCCATCACCCTTGCCACCGCCTCTCACCTGCCCAGCTAGAGCCCTCGCTAACCTCCCTCCGCCCATCCTTGCTTTTGTGGTCTATTAACAAATAGCCAGGTCAATCTTTTAAAATAAACACTGGATCAAGTCACAACTCTGTCCCTATCTTGCTTGGCTGCCACTGAAAACCTTTCAGAAACCACAAAGTCCTAAGTACTTCATCTTATGGCCCTTTCCCCTGAGGTATCCAAGCTGTCTGCTGCCTCCCTGCCTCTTCTTCCAGCAATCCTTAAATTTGACAAGGGTAGCGTGTCCCAGGGTGTTTGCACCCTTAGCTCTCTGTGCCACAATGTCCTTTGAATGTGGTGGCAGTTCATGTGTGGTCCCCAACCCAGCAGCAGCTCCAGGGGAATTGTTTTCATTTCTAACAGTCAGGCTCGCTGGATGGGAAACCTTGGGGGGTGTGGCTGGGGTGGAGCTCTGCGGTAGAGTGCTTACCTAGCATGCATGAGCTGAGTTTGATTCCCAGCACTGCAAAGAAAAAAAGGAAGAAAGGAGCCCTGGGGGGATAGACGCGGCAGCCTGTGTTAACTAGATCTCCAGGTAATTTGGGTATACAGCAGAGTTGGAAAACCCTGCTTCGTTCATTCAGTTCCCTTCCTTCAGTGTGTGATTCAACACTCTCATAAAAAGAGAATTCCCGGGGCTGGGGAGCTGGCTCTGTGGATGAGGTGCTTGCTGTGCAAATGTGAGGACCTGAGTTCTAATCCCCAGACCCACATAAAGCTGGAGGAGATGGTGCACATTCTTAGTCCCTGTGCACCTAAAGCAGGATGGGGAGTGGAGAACCGTCAGAAGCCCACAAACCAGCATGCCCGGCCATGCAGTAGCAAACAAAAGACAAGGTAGATGGCAAAGACCAACACTGAAGATGCCCTCTGACCTGTGCCCACGCTCTGTGTCATGCACACTCTCACTCACACACTCAAACACTCACAGGCATACATAGACACTCCAGCACATACCTGAAAAGGGGAAGAATTTCTACTAAATTCTAACTAGTTCTGTTCCTGTCACTCCCTTACCCTACTGTGTGGCCTTCTGGTGATCCTCAGTGCAGAACACAATGCCTGGCATGTGCCTGCGATATGAAGGACCCCTGTCCCCCTCCCCCACCCCGTGCTCAGCAATGAACTCTGACCCCGGGAAGAGGACAGGGGCTTGCTCAAGGTCAGGGGGTGTCAGGCCTGCCAACTGTCTGCTAAGGACTCGCTTTGCTGTCCGGGCCTCAGCGTGGGCTGGCATGCCCCCCCCCCCCCCCCCCCCAAAGCGTGGTTCGTTGGCCCCGGGCGCACTTCCCTTCTCTTTTAAGCTCTGAGTGGTTTAATTTGCAAGCACAGCTGCCTTTCATGTCGCAAGCTGCGTCCCTGCTCCCTCTGATCTCGGAAGCTGCCCCATCCACTGCCGCTTGTCAGCCCCGCCCTGCTCAGCCAGGATCAGGAGGTTCAGTTAATTGTGAGTGATTTTTCAAAGCTGCCTGGAGTCTCCATGAAGCACCCAGCGCCGGATCCGCGTCTTCAAAAAGTTACTCAAATAAATCAACTAATTTAATTCCTGCCTTTTCCCGCCCCCTCTGTGGTTCCCCAGCTTGTCCAGGGTGAGTCACCCTTTCTTCTGTGCTATATGAGTTCAGGCTGGGACTCAGGCCAGCACTTCCTACACTCTGGGACCTGAGATGCACCCGTGTCCTTCTCCTGAGTTCAGTTTCCCCATCTTTGAAGCAAGACCCTCACCTCTCCGACAGCCTGGACACTGAAGGCAGACTCCTTCGCAGTCTTCACTGGCTATAGGACCCAGTGCACCTTCTCTTCCCTCTCTGCTCTGGTGTTCCCACCTGTTCAGTGGGGTGCTTGACAACAGACCTAGCATGCTAATTATCCAGGTGAGGATGAGGTGGGGATGGTAGAGCCAGTGTGGCCAAGGTAGCCTGCTTCTTCTGTCTGCCCCAGTTCAGGCCTTCTCTGCAGTATTGTAGACAGAATTTTCCTAAGGTTCCCTAGAAAGTCACTTAGCTGTATAGCATCAGCTCTCTCCAGCTTTCTGGTCTTTTCTGTGCGTGTGTGTGCAAGTCAGAGAGATGGCTGAGTAGGGGAAGCACTGGGCAGGCAAGCCTGGCGACCTGAATTTGAGTCCTGAACCAACATAAAAGCGGGATGTGGCAGCAAGATGTGAGGCAAGGACAAGAGAATCGACTGGAGGCTCAGGGCCAGTGAGCCTGGAGTACACAGCCCAGCAGTGGAGACAAAAGAGACCCTGCCTCAAAGCAAGGTGGAAGGCTGAGCTGGTGACGAGGTGCAGTAGAAAAGATGCTTATCCTGCAGGTCTGCCCATCTGAGCTCAATCCTCAGAACCACAGTGGAAGGAAAGGCCCAACTCCCCAAAGTCGCCTGATGACCTCCACATATACCCATAGCTTGCATGCACCTGTGCATATTATATATCATATATTATAGATGGGTGCATTTTTAATTAAAAAAACGCATGCCAGTTTTGGGAAAAGGTAGACAAGACCATGTCCTCTTGGGCCCGAGATTAAACGGAAAGGGACGCTGGGCCCGCAGAGTCAGGAAATTTAGCTGCCTCTGGCTTGCTCATGACCTTGGACACAACACTGTACCCTGGGTCCCAGTTTCATCCTTTCCACAGTTCCCGTCTAAACGCTTGGCAACTCTGGAATGTCCTGGGTCTCTGCCACTGAAAACCTCCTGGGTATTTCCCCAGCCCAGACTTCCCTAGTGAATTGGTTTATTCGAGCGACAGGTTAAGGATCTTTGCTGTGCTTCCGAATGAGCCCTTCCATCTTAGCATGCCCGAAACCAGGCTCCCTCTTTCCTTTCATCTCCCAGAGCTGTCCTTCCAGCTCAAGAAATGGAAATTCCATCAAGTTCACCACGCAGGTCAAAATCCCCAATGTAAGCCTTGAGTTCTCCCTCTTACATCCTACATCCAATCCATTAGCAAACGCCTTCAGCCTAGCTTTCAAAACACAGGCACCAGTGACCTCATTTCTGTGTCCCTTCTAATGCCACCTTGAGTGGAGCCACCACCGTTTCTCATCTTAATAACCGCAGCGTCCCCCTTTAGAGCAACCAGCTCCTGGCTTTGCCTTCCCCATACCCGTCACTTCTTCATGGAACGGTCATGAGATCATGTTAAAAACAAGACAGACCCTGTCATTCTTCTAAAGGTCACCATGGCCTGTCTAGCATATGCAGAATAAAAGATCAAGCCCTAACTATTATCTAGATGGCTGCGTGATACTCAGGGAACACAACCCTAGGGCCTTTGCTCATTTGGCTCTCCATCCTCCCACAATGCCCATCTTCTCACTTCACTGCTTCAGCATCACCTCTGAGAGGTCTTACTGTACCAATCATTCTTCTGTTTGTTAGCGTCTGTCATCTCTAGCCAGAGCATGTTATGTGTGTACATACATAACAGACTCTTGTCTGTCCATCCATAGCTATGCCTCCCATGCCATGACTAGCATATAGTAGGTACTCAACAGACTTCTTTTGAATGGATACTATATGTCAACAAACATATAGGCAGTCATTGGAACACACAGGTTTTGATACCTCTTTCAGTTAGCAAGCATGTATACATAGAACACAGATGTGCCTGCATATATGCAGGGCTCACTCCTCTGCTGCTCTATTTTCCCACTGTTCCTTGGGGTCCTCCCTCCATTTTCTCTGGTCTACACTCTCCTTTGAATACCAGCAAACTGCTTATTGAGCCAAATTTGGTCCAACCCGGATACACCATGGATGACTATGCCTTCCCCCAGATACCTAAGCATTTCGGCTTCTGATGTGCAACCAAAGGGCTGGAGAGCCACAAAAAGGCCAAGCCAGTTTGCATCTCCAGGAGAGGACAGTCTAGGATCTGGGATACTGTCTTCTGCCTGCCTGACTTGCGGACCTCTTTGGCTAATATGGTGGGAAAGAGGAGGCCGCTTGAGACCCACAACCCTTGACTCAATCAGTGTCCTCCAGAGACACTGGGCAGTGTCTGTGGGTGGGGCAGAGGCACACTGGGCACACTGTTCATGCAGATGTGCTCTGAGCAGGCCTTCGTTCCATTTACAGGCAGCTGTATGTTTTCTTTTGTTACCTGCACAGGTTGAGTGTGTGCAATGCCCCTGGGTGTTTGCAGCCACACCCAGTAAAGAGTAATTGATTCTCTCAGTACCTCGTGTATGTTGAAGTGCCCAGGCAGCAGGGTCTCTTCGCTGGGGCAATCCCAGTCAAGTGAATGAAACTGTCCCTAGGTACACACAGAGAGAAGAGCGCCCCAGCAATATGATACTTGCTGAGGTTACCCCTGTGCTCATGGTGGTGACTGAGTTGTCCAGTAGCCTGCTTAGTTTGAGGGCCATTTCCTCTGCCTGGGGTGGGTGGCTATGGGCAGGTGTGAGAACATGTCGGAATCTGCGCTGGCCTGGTTGTTGCCCTTTTAGCCTGGAGACAAGCCAGCGGTTGTGCAGGGGCTTCATCTGTGTGCAGCTGAACTTTGAAGAAGAGCTACAACCATGTCAAACTTGGCGGGCATGTGGGCTGTGTCTCTGAGCACACAGCATGCACGAGCCTAGCTGAGCTTGCATGCATAACTGGGCTTGGCTGTGCAGCTGGATCTGAGCCTTTAGCTCTCACTGAGTCCACAGACAGGTCATGTCCCCGTGAGGGCCGGGCGTATGGGTGCAGCCGAGGTCGAGTGTGGGCTTTGCTCGGCTCTATACCAGGGAATGTGCCCTGCTCTTGCCTGTCCTCTGTGTCCTAGGGACAGTCACCTTGTCTGCCATGTCCCTCCCATCAATCAGTTCATGCTGGGAGCATCCCCACCCCAGGCCTCACCCACCCATCCCCCCAGCCCACCTGTAGGTGACAGCTCGGCCACACTGCCAATGTAAGGGCCATGCAGGAAACGTGGCTCACTGTCGTTGATGTCCTGTACTTTGATGATAAACTCTGATTCAGGTTCCAGCAGGCGGTTGGTGGCGCGATCCCTGGCTTGGGCCCTGAGTGTGTAGAAGGTTTTCTGCTCCCGGTCTAGGCGCTCGGTGGCATGGATGTCACCGGTCAGCTCGTCAATCAGGAAGATGGTCCCCGCACCCTCGCCAGAGATGGTGTACTTGATGGTCCCATCACCTTCGTCGGAATCAGAATGGATCTGAGGAGGCAGGAGGAAGGCAGGGTGATACTGGGGAAGGCGGAGGCTCCTCTCCCACACCTTCCCCAGCAGAGTCCCGTGGGGCCTGTTCCTAGCACATCTCTCCTCAGCTGACCATAGAGAGGCCAAAAGCTGTGCCTGCAGCAATCAGAGCTTTGCACCCTCACAAACTCTTTGCCTGGAATTCACCCTACTCTGCCTAGGCCTTCTCACCTACCTTCCCTGGGCTCCCCAAACCATGAGCTTTAGAGGATAGCCACTATCCCACCCCACCCCTGCCCTAAAAACTCCCATGGTTCCTGTTTTTTTTTTTTTTTTTTTCCTAATTTTTCGGGACAGGGTTTCCCCGTGTAACAGTCCTAGTTGTCCTAGAACTTGCTCTTGTAGACCAGGCTGGCCTTGAACTCACAGAGATCCACCTGTCTCTGCCTCCTGAGTGCTGGGATTAAAGGTGTGCGCCACCACCGCTCAGCTTCCTGTTGCCTTTAAAACGACGTCCTGGACAGCAGCCTGCATAGCCCCACAGCTCCTACTGTGTGCTCATGTATGTGCTCATTTGTGTATGTGTGCACGTGTCGGGGGGTATGGGGGAGGGTGGCAGAAGACATCCTTAGGCGTCATCCACTAGGGCTTATTTTATTTTATTTTTGAGACAGTGGCTGACCCCCCCCCCCAGCTCTGGGATGACAAGTGCATGTCTCCGACATCGACTCTTTTCAAACGTGGGTTCTGAGGAATCAAACTCGTGTCCTCACGCTTGCTTGCAAGACAAGCACTTTGCCCACCGAGCTACTGCTCTAGTCCTCTTCTGAGCAGTCATTCTTGTTCTCGGCCTACTGAAAATCCATCCACCGTACAAGGCTCGGCTCTCTTGCCCCCGTCTCGAAAGCTTTGCTGGATCCCCTTCCAGGAGGTCTGAGTACCATCATCATCATCACGCTCCACCTTGTGGGATCACCGTTCGTGCGCTTCTCAGACCTCCATGCGCACGTCAATGACACGGGCAGCTTTTAAAATGTGGCCCTGACTCATCCGTTCTGGGCTGGGGCTTCCCAGTTCACAAGCCCTGAGCTGCTCAATGACCCACTTTGTACTTTAGTCTCCCTCTGGCTTTATTACAAACCTCTGGAAATGGAAGATGGGCCCATGACTTGCTATTTTGTGGGGACCAGGAGTGGGAGGGGGGATGGGATTGCTGAGGTACCTGTACCCACCAGGCATTTCGCAGGGCAAGGAGCACATTTATCTAGATTAGGACTCTAATTAGAACAGCAGCAGCAACAAAAAAGATTAGAGCAAACCCCATTCAAGCAAATTTTTCTTTTTTTTTCCCTTTTTTTCCCCCATTTACTTAGGGAGGGCAGACTACTGGGGAGCTACCCTGTGCTCCCTCCTTAAACTCTCCTACTCCATTCAAAAGCCTCCTCTGTGTCTTACATAAATCACTGCGTCTCTCTGAGTCTGCCACTGCATCTGTAACAGGGCATATCCTCCCAGAGGAGCTAGGTGGGCAGTCTCCTAAGGCCCTTGCCAACTGCCCAGCACCAGCAGCGCAGGAAGCGAGATGCTGCCTGAGGACTGGGGCTGGAAACAGGTCCCACTGAGCAGTGCATGGCCCCTCTGGCTACTGGGTCACCAAAAAGTCTAAAAGGCTGGGAAGTGGGAGCAGAGAGGGACTACTTAGGGAAGGTATGGAGGCTTTTTGCTTTTTTAGCACCCACTGCAAATATACCTGTTGGCACTAGCTAAAACTTAGCTTTGCCTGAGACACATTAAGTATCCGACACATGGAAGCCATGATTATATTATACTAAGCATTCACTATTTATAACTGGGTTTTTCTACTGGTACAGCTAGGCGCCAGACCCCGGGCTATTTCCACTGCACTGGCATCTCTTGGGGTAGGAACCAGCAAGAACCTGTTCTCTTGCAAACAGAAACACCTAAGACTTTACCCTCCAATGCACAAATCTCCAAGCAGCCCCAAGCAGAAGAAAACCCATCTGGATGAAGCGGCAGCTCCTCTCTAAGCCTCCGTGGAGATGAGGCATAAAGGAGACAGTCCCTATGGCACTTTTGTGGCCTGGCTGTGGCAAACACCAACCCCCTCATCTTCAGAATGGGTGCCAGAAAACTCATCAGGAGGAGGGCCCACCCAGCCACGCAGGGGGAGCTGGGGTGTAAATTCTGTGGTAGAACTTCGTGTCTGAAAGGTGGATCATAGAAGTGCCATTTGGAAGATTGAATGGCCCATAAACATTTTCATATTTCATTAGCCGATTAATGGGCATCTCTCTCTTTTTGGCGACTCTGCTGATTCTCAGCAGAAATTGCCGGGAGTAAATGGAGGCGTCTGGTGGAACCTTTCCGGGTCCCCGTCCTGTTATAGATTGCCCCAATTAATGCCCGTCCTGGGCTCCTTCTTCCTGTCCAGTTACTGTTAATAGATTTCTCATAAGTGGCTGGATTGTAAAAACCTCATAACTCAGTTTAATGCTCCCAATAAAATTATCTCAGATGTCGGCCCTGAATCATTGGCAGCGCCTGGGATGAGGGGACCTGTCTCTTGTTTGTTTGTACTATTTTATCACCTTTCCTTGGGGAGATACAGGGGGAAAGGGGGGCTATGGCCTCTCTTACGCTGCCTCTGCCCACTTCTCAGATTGACCTGGTATCTGCTTATTTGATCAGCAAACACTTGGGAGCAGCATGATGGAGAGATGAGACTGTGGGAGAATTATCTTCAATGGCGTCTGTCACATCCCTGTAAAATGATGTGGCCTGTCTCGGACGAGGAGAAGTGCACAGAGACGGAAGTGATCTCGGTCAGGTGGCCCAGTGTGGAAGCTAAGCTCGGAGGAGCTGTGGTCATGGGAAGGTTCATTTTGCCCTTCTGAGTTCTGTCTCCCCACCCCGAGGCATGCAAGCCTACCTGGCACAGTAAAGATTAAACAATGAAGATGAACACTCGCGGCCGAAGAGGTGGCTCAGGGGTTAAGAGTATTGGCTGCTCTTTCAGAGGACCCGGGTTCAGTTTCTGTCACCACATGGCGGCCCACAACTGTCTGTAACTCCAGTTCCAATGGACCCAATGCACTCACACAGACATACATTTAGGCCAAATATCAACACACATAATAATTAAATGAATTTTAAAAAGGATGAAATGAATACATGTTGGCAATAACCCAAGCCCCTAGCCATAGTAGCCTTCTTCCCCCTCTGTATTCTGGAGCTCCATGATTTACATGCAAGGTCTCACATCCTTTGACATTTTGCTTTTTCTTTTTTTTCTCCATTTTTTGTTTGTTTGTTTGTTTGAGACATGGTCTCAGGCAGCCCAGGTTAGCCTCAAACTCACTAGGTACTCCCCTAACCCAGTGATGGTATGACAGCCCAGCACCCTGATATGTTCATACAGACCTCCTTCCTACCCTCAATGAGGGGTGGGGGGGAGGGAGTGGAACCCCCAAATTGATGTCATCAATATTCTGTGAAGGGTGACTTAGTGCTCACACTGGGGCCCAGTAGCTCTTCTCCAGGGATTCAGGGTCAGACTGCCAATCAGTTCAGAGAGGGAGGAGCTAAGAGCCCACAGCTGTGGGGCTGGGCTGGGCTGGGCTGGGCTCAGCATTAGAAGACTGTGAGCCCCCCAGTTGTGCAGAGCAGCTGGGGAGTGGGGGGGGGTCACGGTGCTCTCATTTACTGGGCATTATTGGATCACTCCTGCTGCAGGCTCTCAGCACACAGTATGCAGATGTCTTTGCATACCTAAGTGAAGACACCACCATGGTGCTTGCAGAGAAAAATGCAGAAGCGTGGAAGAGCTGAGTGTGCACGCTTGTGAGTGAGTGCACACATGCACACCAAGTGTGAGATCAAAGTCCCCTTGAGGGCACAGCAGAGAGTCCATTTTCATCTCTGCCGTCGTGCCCAACACAGGGTCTGACAGTAAACACGTTGGCCATGTGATTAAGGATGTAGATGGTTGCTAGAATTTCCTAGCTGCCTGGCACTTCTGGACCCATTTGCCTTCCTTGCATATTCCCATCAAGATGCCGCATGTGTGCCTCAAGCTCCAGAGTCGCCCACTTCCGAGGGGAAGAAGAGACTTTTTTCACCTCTGAGGCTCGGGTGGACACTAGCTGGACAGTGGAGGATGGTCACAGGGTTCTTATGGCGCTCTAAGCACACAATACTGGAGTCTTCAGCACGACCTCTGCCTGCTACATCCTCCTCCCATGAGCTCCCCAGAATATTCTAGTCTCTCCTATTATACAGATAGGCAAACTGAGGCTCAGAGAAGGTATACATCCTACCTGAAACCTCACAGCTCACAGCAGGCAGTTCCAGAGCCAGTGTGACACCATGTCCCTGTTCTTACTACCACACTCAGAGTGGCCTGTTTCTGAGGAGGAACCCCCACGCCACCTCATCCTCAACCGTAGCCTTCTATCATAAACACCAAAAACATTGGCACGAAGGGGCCTCATCCCAGGGGGCTGCAAATGGGATTTACGGGGCCATTAATTACTTCCTCCTAATTAAATCAAAATTAAATGCGAGCAGAGGTGGGGTTTCCTTATTAAAGACAATTAAACGGACAGCAAGGCTACACAAATAAAACGAGTTCAGGATTTAAACAGAAAGCAAATCAAATAAAGAGCCTCCCTCCCCCCTCCCTCCGAATGTAAGGGGTCTGTTCACGCAGGCACAACTCGTAAACCAAGAGTTCATCAATTTTCTTTAAATATTAGCAACTTAATTAAATCCACTCTCCTCCCCACTCTAATCCTGCCATATATCTAAAATAGATCTCTCCGCCCACAGGAGTTGGTCGTAAGTGCTGACCCCATAATCATATTTTTTTTTGAAAAAAAAAAAAAAAGTAAAATCCTACAAAATCCACATTCGACTGACAGGAGCCTCGGGGGAAATTACAGTTCAGAAAGGGGATTAGTGAAAGTACCCAGATTTTATGGAAATGCTGGGAGGCTGCTTTGGGGGGGTCGTGTTTGAGAAGGTGAAAGGAAGTGGCTGGGAATGCCGACTGGGCAGAGCTGTGTTGTGCAGGAAGCTGTTGCTGGGGCCTTGGCGACGACCTAACCACTGCAGGGCCTGGTGGTTCCTGTGGGTGCTGACAGGAGCCTGGCGGTGAGTGATGGAGAGGGCGGTTGTGAAATCGGCTACCGTTGGGCACGCGGGGTTCACAGCCTGGTTCTGTTGCTAAGTTACCTTTAGAATTCGACAAGGACTGATGCTCGGAGTGACTCCCTGGGGTGGGGGACCAGGAAGCAGCGATTTCACTGGAACCATGGAGAAGTCCTTTCTCCTGGCAGAGCGAGGGGTGTGGCTTGACGGGAACTCGCACACACGTGTGTGCACGTGTGAGCGTTGTATGCATGGGTTTGGTTGGCTAGGGACAGGTGACTTAAACAAACAAACAAACAAACAAAACGACAACGACAACAACAACCCAAGCTCACATTTTTAAGACTAACAGCCTCCCTCCAGTGAGTGATGGGAAGCTAAGATGTGTTTGGGACCGAATGCAGGGGTTGCTAGAACCTGGGAATCTGAATCTGGTTCCAGTCAGCTCTCTGGTCACATGCCAGTCTCCCTTCATGAGAAGGCCCCAGGCAAGTGTTTCAAAGCTAAGACACCTTCTCCTTGCTCCCTAGATAGTACCTTCAGGAGGAGACCTTGGCAGCAGGGGGGCTGAGCGCTATGTAAAGGGGATGGAGGAAGCTAGCAACCCACAACAATTGTGGAGACCCGGTCCAGTGGATGGGCCAGCACAGTGCTGTCTTACATCAGAGGCTTCCATGAATTCTAGACTTGAAGTGGTGTCTGGATACCTGGTGGCTTGCCTGATATTATATCTGTGTTGCCATTTGGCCTTGGCACAAGCTTCTCCATCCCTGGGCCTCAGTCCCCCTGCCCCCCCTTTTTTTTACAATGAAAGTATTTATTAGGAGCCCATACTGACAACAAAATTGTGGTTCAAGGTAATGGCATGGCGTTGACTCATGCTATTGAGACTCTAAAGACTGGTCAGGCAAAGATGCCAGCAGCCTGTTAGTGGCTCCACTTCTTCCTGTTCTTAGAACCTGAGTGACTGGGTGCCCCTTGCAGAGAACCCAGCTACTGGGCCATTGACTACCTGGGCAGGTCACCCCATCTGGCTTTGAGCAGATGTTTGGGGCCTCTTTGGGGACCTGTGGCAGGTCTGGAACTCACTTTCAGGCTAGCCTCTTCTCAGGGCATCAGAAACTACAACAAGGTGTAAAACAGCTCGGTAAGGTGTTTGCCAAGCACATGAGGTTCTGAGCTTGATCCCCAGAATTAGGATAAAAAGCCAGGTGTGGTATCATGCAATTGTAATCCCAGCCCAGGGGAGGCAGACAGCCAGGTGGATCCTTGGGGCTCACTAGTCAGCCAGCCCAGGCTCCTCCATGTCTTCCAGACCAGCGAGACCCTGCATCAAAGAAGGTAGACAGTTTTGAAGTATGACAGCTAAGGTTGTCCTCTGGCCTTCAAATGCTCAAGAAGCTTCAGAGGCAATCTCTAGCAGACACCCCTGCCCACTCCAGGTCTCTTGCCTGCTCTGCCCTTCATTTCTCTATCTGCAAAAAAGATAAATGCTTTTCACCTTGCATGTGGGCAATTAAATGCTTTATATGGGAGTTATAAAGAGTAACCAAGACAAGCAAGCCCTGGATTGAGTGCTTGGTGGGCTCCGTTTTCTTTCTTAATCAAGAAGCTGGGCACAGGGACTCTCAGATTTCCTCATTTACAGATGAAGGAGGGGTCTGGCTGTGTGTAAAGACTGGGGTTCAAGGCTATGTGGGGGAGCAGGTTAGCCAGAATAGGCTTCCAGAGCCTGCATTCGTAGCTACCAAACCACAAGTACCTGCCCTCTTCTGTCAGCCTGACAGAGCTGGCAGTCTCTGCTCTGCCGCTGGGCTGCCCGGCCATCCGAAGCAAGGCCCGTGCCTGCCTGAGTCCCATCTGTCGGATCCTGGTTTGCTCAGCCAGGGAAACCCACTTCAGCCCGTGCATGGAGGGTGGTGGTTGAGTAACAGGGACTCCTGTGTCAAGAGAGCAGTGTTTCCTACATGCAGATTCACAGGTTTGCATGCATTTTCCTATCTCTGTCAGGGGCTAGTCTCTGAACCTCAGATGCGCTGCGGCCAGTTCTTAGGCTCGGGGAGCACACGTCCACTCTCGAGTTAGAGTGCCAATGCCAACAAAAATGTGCTAGCAAGATGCCAGCCTAAAGAAAACCCAGAGAACCAGCCCCAGGTACCACTGCTCCTCTGCTTCACTGTCTCCACTTCTGGCAAATCGCCAAGTAAGTCCTCCTCTCCAGGCTTTGGAGTCTTTATCCATAGGTTGTTCCTTCCACCACCAGCTTGGTGAGCTCTTACTCCTACGGTAAAGCCCAGCTCAGGGAAGCCAGCCAACAATCTCATTTAATCAGTGCCTACTGGCTTCCTGGGCTGGCTTGTGAGGATTTTTTACACATCAGGGTGTCTGTGATGTGTAAAAATCTTAGAGAACCACAGATAGCAGGAGCTGGATCATACTGGATCCAGCAGCACACCCAGGCTTCGTGGGGGGCAGGGACTGATTGAAAGGGTGAACACCAATCCTCACTTCCTTACAGTTCCAGAGCCGGTCTTCAGCCAGGTTAACCGGCATGTGCTCAGAGTTTGAGAAGGCAGCTTTCATTCATTCATTCACTCTTTTCTTTCTTTCACTCATTTATTCATAGAACAGTGTAAATGGTGAGCAAACACGCTTTGATGAAAGAGGCATGTGTCAATTGCATAATCAAACAAATACATGTATAACTGGTGCATCTGAAGGACAGATACAGGGACCTCAGGGGTGAATGCACAGGGGTGTGTGTGTGTGTGTGTGTGTGTGTGTGTGTGTGTCCGTCCTAGCCTGATGTACTCAGGGAGGGCTTCTCTGAGGAAGCAGCATTTGGATTGAGATGTGTAGCAAGTGTCAGGTTCCTGGCAGGAGGAGGAAGGAACAGGGACGAGAGGGGACACCTTGGGGAGAGGGGCAACAGCAAACAGGACACCAGGAGAGTGACAGTGTGGCAGGGGCACAGCTACACAAGACCCAGCTCTGCAGAGAGTAGGTTCAAATTCAGGTGTGGCCCTGGATACATTGCTGAGTCCGGGAAGCAGTCACAGTACACATGGGACACAATCAGATCTGTGACCTTTCTGGGTGCCCCACAAAACCCACACATGAGCTGATCTCCCCCACTGCATCTAAAGTGAAAAAGTGGGGGGGGGGGCGGCTGCAGAGGGAGCATGGGGCGGGAGACAGCTGAAAGGGAGCAAGGAGAGGGACTACAATGGGGTGTCCCCAGAGTTGGGGCTGGACAGTGGGCCCCACTTTACCTTGCCCACGTACAGGGGTTCTGACCCTGTGTACTCCTCCACCACGAAGAATTGGTTCCACACCCAGCCACGCTTCACTCGGCCTGCGCCCAGCTGGTTGTCCTGCTGAGTTCCGGGTGATGAGGAGGATGGGCCAGGGGTACTCGCCGCCCACAGGTGCCCCAGCAGCGGTAGTAGCAGCAGCAGCACAGGCGATAGCGCAGCCCCTGCCCGGAGCGCCCCGATGGGCCTCGGCCTCATTCTTAGCAGAGCGGGCCAGGTCCCGGAGCATGGATGGGAGGCACCGCAGCGGTACTGAGTCACATGGTGACCTCAGCCTGGGGGATGCTGGGCTGGACTGGGAGGGGGCGCGGCCACACCCGGGCATGGAAACCTGGTCCTGGCCCGCGCCCCCCTTGCTGAGTCCCTGGCCCAGTCAACAGGCCGCACAAGTGCGGTTCCTGAGCAGAGCTTGTGCCATGGTCCCTGGGCCCAGACGATGTGGTCAGTGCGAGCAAAAGCTTCTTGAAGTCCTTCTGGGACTAGGGGTCATCCAGATCCATCGGGAGCCTGTGGGACAAAAGTGAAAACATTTGTCTGAGGGCAGGCTGCGACTGTCTTGCCGTAACTAACTAAACATCTTCCGAGTGTCTAGCCCTTGCAAGAACAGACACGTCAGGGACAGTTGATGGCTCACCAGGCAGTAGGCCAGCCTATCCCCAAGCCCTAGCCCCTTCCTTCATCCCCTAAGGCCCCTGCTCCCCAAGCCCCAGCTCCTCCAGCTGCTGCTCCAGCCCTCAGGCCCCCAAAGCCTCCTGATTTGTTCCTGGCTGCTGAGTTCTCTGGCACAGTGGGATCCTCTGGAGTCCCCACAGAGGCAGCTTCTAGAAGGGCTCCCAGAGCCGGAAGCTCCAGGCCTCCAGAGTGCAGCTTGGGGGCCATTGCTTAGTTCTCCCCCCAGCAGAAGACCCAGGGGATACCTGCTGGCAGCTGCCTCTTTCACACCCCTTGTGGGAAGGGACCCCTAGAGTTCTTGTTTGCAGCACCCGGGGTGGCTCTGGGTAGGCACACCCCCTGAGCTGGTGCCTCCATGCCCCCTCCTCAGCCTTCCCATCCTCCCCCACTCAGCCTTTCCATATCCCCCTCCACCCCCCATCAACACAGGCTGGCCATAAATCCATCCATTTCTCCTTCCCTCAGATTCTGCTCTCAGCAAGGAAGGCTCTGAGACACTCACGCCTACTGGAGCCATAATGAGAAATAATGGCCTAATGTGAGTGTTTGTGGGACAGCCACGCTTCCACCAGGAATTTCAGGTACACAGTTCAGCTCCATTCAAAAACTTCTTTCCACTGACCTCAGCAGGGAGCCAGGCTTGGCCTATCTGCCTGGAACCAAGGCAGAGAAACCCATAGTTCAGTGTGACAGGAGACAAGACCATCCCATGGCATGAGGGGTACCTTGTCAGTGTTAAGAGAAGGCAGACCGAAGACTGAGGGGTGTGAATGTTTGGGAGGGAGAGCAATCAGGAGGGAGAGCAATCAGGGCAGCTTCCTGGAGGAAGAGGCACCTGAGCCGCTGGGAAGGAAGGGGTGGTGTTCTGAGTGCAGGCTGGCTTAGGAGGGTTATAGTAACAGTGTGGAGGGCATGGCAGTGGGCAGGGGTGGGGCCTTCTGAGGACAAGGACTACTGTATGGTTGGAATGGGAAATGTGGGCCACTTCCTTTGAACAGAACTACAACAGGGAATCTCAGGCTATCATACCCTGGGAGCCGGGGCTCGTGTCTGGGTGTCACATCTGTAACAGATGTGACTCCAAGTGGTCTCCAGGGTGAGTAGAAGGGTTGAAGATGATGGCCAGAGGCGAACAACCCCAGTGCACAGGAACACAGGGGACACAGGCTGTGACATGCTGCCCCCTCTGTCACTCTAGGCCCTGCCTAGATTTAACCAATATCGGGCCTGTGTCCCCTCTGCAAGCAGCTCTCTCCACAGTGCCCACCCACCCACTCCGTGCCCTGTGGATGACTTCTACTACCCAGGTGTCCCTGCTACACTCTTGCCTTGGGGAACCTGGCTCTGATTCTTCCTCACATGATGGCCTGGCTGGTTGTAATAAGGTTGGAGTTATGGGTGAGGAGGGGCTGCCCCCCAGCTTTCATTTCCTGGAGCTTATGAGTTCCCTGCATGTGTCTAGCCTGCCTAGGGACCTGTTCCCTTGGCTCCAACAGGCAGTTGCAGGGATGCATGGCGCTGCAGCAATGTGTATGTGGGGGCAGTGTGGGGTGCTGAAGATGGGGAGGCTGGAGATTCCAGAGAGGCTGGGGCCACTTGGTGGGGAGGGCCAGGGGACGCCCCTCCCCCCCAGTGTTTGCAGGCTCTGGACTGCCGCTGGGTCTGTCTCCTCCATGTTTTATTTCTTTGTTTATAATACCTCTGATAAGGGGGAGCAGCACCCTGGGAGTCACTCACTGGTTCATTCATCAAACGGCACTGTCTAACACATCTAGGAGACAGAAGACTCTCATTCATTCATTCTCTCCCCCATTCAGTATACTTTTAACATCTGCGTGAGGCAGCAGGATGGAACCAGTTACTAGGAGAGAGACACACCGTTTCTGGCTGCTTCTTTACTCTTTCCATAAATATTTACCAGCACTTCCCGGACACCAGCTCCCCAGTGGGGCTCTGGGGACACAGCAATAAACAGAGTCCAGGCCTTGGGGAGTTGACCTTCAGGTATGCGGGGAGGGGAGCAGAGCATAAAGGTCTCGGTCCACAACATCATTTCAAATATGAAGAGTAGGGGTGGAAAGAAGGCAAAAACAAGGCAGAAAGGCTGGAGGGGGTGGAGGATTGTGGGTAGGGGCTGGAGGGGGTCCTCTCAGAGGAGTGACTGTGGTTGAGTCTAGAAGGATGAGGAGAAGCCAGACAGAGCAGCAGGACATGCAAAGGGCCTGGGGCTGGAGCCAGCAGAGGTTCACCTGAAGTCCAAACACTAGGTGGTTTTGTGCCTGTGGAATTGGGGATGGGGAGGGGGCGCTTGGTGGAAGACTGCAGAAGCCTGCACTCAGACTCCCACTTCAGAGAGGGGGAAAGTTGAATTCCAAAGCCCTACCTGAAAGTTGCACAGGCTACCTCAGCCAGAGCAGACTTGAACCCAGGACTTGGACCCTCCTTGGTACAAGAGGATGGGAAAAGTACCCCCTCTGGCGGGGTGAAGCCTCCACTGGGTGCACGTGGCAGGACAAAGCTGGCCCTTTGTATACACTCACCCCAGGGACCCTGCCTTCCACCCTCCCCTCTCTGACCTGGGTCTTTGTACCTCAGCCTCCAGGCGCTCCCTCCAGCAACTGGCCAGCTTCCCTGGCTGCCTGCCAGCTCCTTGCGCTCGCACAGCCTGCCAGGGCTGCAGCAGCCAGACCTCCTCCCTCCTCTCCTGTTTCAGCTTTGCCCGAGGGCACCCATCGCAGGACCCTGCCCTGGCATCCTGTCTGACCAGGAGGACAGCAGCCAAGCCCCCAGGCTCCCTCTAACTCTCCTTTGACTCCATGTGAGCCTCTGGGCACGTGGGTGGCCTTCCCCTGGCCATGGGGCTCAACTTCCTCCATGGAGCTTTTTAATCCCTAATGGGGTTAAGAAACTGAGTCCTGGCCAGGCTAAGTTCACGCTGGCCTTGCATTCCCTATCTTACTTTGCCATCAGCCTGACCTGTCACGGCATGTGCACACACACGATTTCACGCCTGGTAGTGGTCACGTCACAAAGGTCACGAGACTCTGCTAGTCACTCATCTAGGCTCAGCACAAATAAAGGGACACCTTGCTTTGTGCAGAGAAGACACAGACGTGAGCAGCAGACATGTCTGACACAGCTTGGCTTTGGTTTTGAGAGCCACTGTAGGGATATTGGGATGTGGGACCTTAGAGACGACTTGGGTCCTTATGAAGAAAAGCATGCCTCTAGAGACTGGGATCAGTTCCTTAGGAGAAAGTGGAAGTGAAGTGATCCCAAAAGCCCTGTTCTTGCTTGTTCTTTCAACGTGGGCCATCACGACACCTTCATCATGTCCTTGGACCTCTAGGACCAGGGATGGAAGCAAACTGCTGTGAGTTTTTTGTTTGTTTCTTTCGAGACATGGTCTCACGATGTAGCTCTGATTAGCCAGGAGCTCGCTATGTGGACCAGGTTGGCCTCTAACAGATCTGCCTGTCTCTGGCTCTTGAATGCTGGGATCAAAGGCGTGCATCACCATGCCTGGCTACCTATTTTACTTATACCTTATTCAGTCTCCAGTATTCTGTTATAGCAACAGAGGATTGTATTAGATGATGGGTAACAGGGTCGGGGGAGTATTTATGCATGCCCTATCATCTATCCATCTACATATCTGTCATCTATCAACTTATCAATCATTTTCAATGATAATTTGTAAAGAGCAGCTAGGGAAGGCCTTGCTATTAAGATGCTATTTGAAAAGAGATCTGTTTGGGCAGAGAGGAGATGCCATAAAACCAGGATGGGCATTCTGATCCGAGGCAGAGAGGCAAAAGCAAAGATCCCGGAGACCAAACATGTCGGAAGGGAGAGAACACAGGGAGCTGGTGTTGACATGGGCAGCAGGTGGGGACAAAGAGTACGGACGGAGGGGTGTTGAAACTGTAGGTTCTCCGGAGTTTTTCCTATGAGATGGGACCCTAGGTAGGTTTGAGCATAAGAGTATGGTGAGCACACACTGACACAGACACACACGTGTGCTCTTATGCAGTCATGGCAGCCAGGAAGGTGTAAGCAGGTGCTGGGAAGTATAGCTTGACTGTGGGAGGAATTGACAGGTCTGGATGGGGGTCCATGTGACCTGACCAAGGCACAGTGAGGTTTCCTTCAGTGGAACTGAAGACAGTGTGGGAAGAGAGGGCGTGAGGAAGGGGAGAGATCTGTGCTGCCGTGTCACGGTTGCGGTATGTCAGCGTGTTGGTTGGACAGCTGGCAGCCTATGGAAAGCAGGGCTGTGCTGCACTGGGGTCAGGTGAACAGGGCTGAGTTCCAACTGTAGGGTGAGCTTGAGATTCAGACAAGGAATTCAGGTGAGATGGATAGAAAAGCGAAGGAGTAGGCAGTGCAGCTAGAGAGGAGGGACCAGCAAAGGACACTGGAAGGAATTGTCTGCCTCTGAGATGCCATAGGAAAACACAGTCCAAAGGGGAGCACTGTCCACCCATCCATCTACCCGTATCCACCCATTTATCCATCCATCCATCCATCCATCCATCCATCCATCCATCCACCCATTTATCCATCCATCCACCTACACAGCCACCCATCATCCATCCATCCATCCACCCATCCACCCATTTATCCATCCATCCATCCACCCATTTATCCATCCATCCATCCACCTACCCAGCCACCCATCATCCATCCATCCATCCACCTACCCACTCACCCATCATCCATCCATCTATCCATCCATCCATTCATCCATCCATCTAACCATCCATCCATCCATCCATTCATCTATCCATCCATCCATCCATCCATCCATCCATCCATCCATCTACCCATCCATCCA